GTTTAGGGGTTAGTGAATACACGGAGATGCAGGAGAGCATAGAAACTCCAAATCCCTTTCCCCATATCTTGCCCCATACATCTCTTCCATCTGGTTTTCCTGAATTATATTATCCTATCTAATAAAGAGGGAATATGTTAATTGACCCTCACATCATCACAAAGATGGTGGTGCCACAGCCAATAAGGAGAGAATATGCTCATTGACTGCCCCACCCTCAAATATGGTGGTGCCCACAGCCAATAAGGAGAGAATATGCTAATTGACTGCCATGCCCTCAAAGATGGCAGCACCCACAGCCTCAAGATGGTGGTGCCCAGTCCCCTCAGCCCTGCTAGGGCAGCAGGCTCATGCCTGTCTCTGGAGTCCCCTCAGCTTCCAGCCGACCCAAGACGCAGGCAAGCCTTAGATGGTGACTTCCCAGCCACCCAGGGCTGGCCCAAAGTTCAGGCAAGTCTCAGATGGTGGCTGCCTAGCTGCCCAGGGCTGCAGAGGCTCAGTAACCAGGGCTGGCCGAGGCTTGCACTGCCGGCAGTGGCAGCAGCAGAGGTGTGAAGGGGTGTTGCCTTCCCCTGATCACCAGGTCACCTCCCACCCCTGAGGGCTCCCGGACTGTGAGAGGAGGCAGGTGGGGCTGAGGGACCCCCGCCTCCAGTGCATGAATTTTCATGCACCAGGCCTCTAGTTTTATAATAAATGGTAATTTAGTGAATAAACAGGTTGCCTGAGTTCTGTGAGCCACTCCAGTGGCTCTCAAATTCCATGGATTTGTTCATGAATAAGTTACTGTTATATTAAGATTTCTGGGTAACATTGTCAGGTTCAGTTTTCCCCATTTGCAAAATGGGTATATAACATAAATCTACTTTCTCTCTCTCTTTTTTTAAATATTTTGTTGAGTTTTCACAGAGAGGAAGGGAGAGAGATAGAGAGTTAGAAACATCGATGAGAGAGAAACATCGATCAGCTGCCTCCTGCACATCTCCTACTGGGGATGTGCCCGCAACCCAGGTACATGCCCTTAACCGGAATCGAACCTGGGACCTTTCAGTCCGCAGGCCGACGCTCTATCCACTGAGCCAAACCAGCTTTGGCAAATCTACTTTCTCTTAAGCATCTCTTATCCTAAATGAGTAAATACATGATAAGCCAGCAAGTTGGGCAGATAGAAGTTTAGTTGTGTTGATTGGACATGTAAAGTGAGAGCTGGTAGATTTAATATTATCATTATAATTGACTTGAGCCAAACGCAGCAGTTTTACAGGTAAAAACCTTGTTTAATAACACTGTCTACATATTAAAATTAATAGGGAAGTTTTTTAAGAAAAAGAAATCATGGGCTCCACTCTCTGCTCCAAGATTCTTATTCAATCAACATGAGGTGGGATGTGAGCATCAGATTTCTTCTAGAAATTCCAGAAGGGAATTCCATTGTGCAGCCAAGACTGAAAACCATCTTAGAAGAGCATCAGTAATGCAAAGTAGGTGAGAATGACATCACATAAGGTAGATCTTGGTTGTGACCAAGAGATGAGCTCCCTCTACACTCTGGAAGCACTCGGCAACTGATGTTCAGCGGGTTTCAAATCATGATCAGGGGGAAAAGTCACTTAGATAAAAGCCAAGAATCACGAGAATCACGGAAGGGTGGGTTAAAGGAGCCCTCAAAAATTACCCAAACTTAATTTTCTACCTGATTGCTGCATGAGCACCAAAGTGAAGCCAGAAGGGGGGCCTCTGGGCCTCAGTTTTCCTAGCCATTAAATGAGCAGGTTAGATTAGATAAGTGTAAGGGTGTCTTCCACTGCTGTTATTCTAAGATAGTTTTCAAGCCTCAGAGAAAAGAGATGTTGACATTGCCCATTCGTGTTGGTATTCTCTGCGCATTCCTTGTCGGAAGTCACTCAGCAGCTCTCTCTGATGCTGGCCAAGCGCCGGCCTGGGCCCCTCGAATGAGAGGCAGCTGGATCTTCATCCTTGAACTTCCCTCCACCCAGTCTTCTCTGGCAGGATGAAGGCTTTCATGAGAGTCTTGTGAAGGCAGCCCGTTTGAAGTGCAGGGCAGCCTCTGAGTGATCTCTCTGCTCCCAGCCAGCACATGGCCTGACCACTGATGGCATCTGCAGAGGAAGTGGTGGAATGGGGAAGTTTACATGACGACAGTTCATGCACATCTTCCTGTCTTGAGTTAGAGGGAGCCCAGCCAACGGCTGCTGTGCCCTGATGCTCCTCGCTGCGCCCCCCCCACCCCCCAGCTTGGTGGCCTGAGGCTTCCTCTGAGTCTCCTGTCTCATGCTTTTCTGAGGGGTGGGCCTCTGAGCAGGGCTTAAGGAATTGGTCAAAACAACAACAAAAATGCTTATTGCTTACATCCTCTGCAGCAGGCTGTGTACTAGCGATGTCACCCTGGATCTCTCCAGGCCTCAGAGTCTGACCAAAATCCATTGGGAGGGAATTGCTATGGTCTGAGTGTTTGCTCCCACTACAAAATTCAAATATAGAGTTCCAAGCCCCAAAAGATGGTGATATTAAGAGGTGGGACCTTTTCACGGTACATAAATCATAAGGGTGGAGCCCTCATGAACTGGATTAGTGACTTATAAAAGAGATACCCAGCCCCCTCACCATGTGAAGATACAAGGAAAAGTCTGCAACTTAGAAGGAGCTCTCATCTGGCCCTGATTTTAGACATCCAGGCTCCAGAACAGTGACAAGTAAATACCACCCCGTCTGTGGTATTTTGTTAAAGCATCCTGAACAGACCAAGGCAGGAGTCATCCCAGCCAATCCCCTAATGCAATGTGTCCTCTCCAGTGCACACACATGCTTGAGGTTGTGAGGGAAACTAAGAATTTAGCTGGGAAAAAGGCAAGGGGTTTTAAAACGTGATTGAAGATCTTTTTAGGCTCTAGGTCTCTGTGCAGATAGAAGAGGTGGTAAGGTGAAGGGGGTGGGTGGCTGGAAACAGGCAGATTGAGTAGGTATTGCCCATCGAAGGTCTTTGAAAGTGAAGATGGGAGCCCCAGAGTCCAACAGAGCACCGATGACATAGGTCAGTCTCTGAGTTCTGTTTCCTAGAAACTAGCACCTTGGTCCAGGTGAAGCCACCTTGTCATGCATCTTATGTGCACCCTTTCAGGGCATTGAAGACAGTAGCACCTGACCCCAGATCTTTCCTTGCCTTTCCTTGGACTCGTGAGATCCTAGAGTCCTTGGAAAACTCTTCCTTGTGCTCCCCTTTTATGGGAGTTGGCACAGGACCAAGTTGTGGCAGCTAAAGCAAGCAGAGTTTCCTCTTATCATGAAGAGGAAGTGACACTCCAGCTTCTGAAGCTGGAATGGCAGTTCTGTTGTCTCATTGTATTGGTAGACGGGGTAGGACCAGAGGCACCGCGAGATCAGGAGGGAGTTTGAATTCGAACGTGGCCTTTCCACTCAGCCCAAGCTCTCACTCCAAGACCCAGTGTGGCCTTGTAACATGGACCTCCAAACAATAAACTCCAGGGCTTCCTCTTTGCACCTTCACACAAATGTTTGCTCCCTTTGGAACTGCGCTGCCACCTACTTCCTTATTCAAGGTTTTAGCACCCAAAGAATCAGTGTGAGGAACCCATGGGAGAACATGGGAGGGAACATACGTCTGGCAGAACTGCACACACTCATCAATGTAAATTAGGTGTTCATGAGTATTTCCATGTTTGCTACTCTGTAATTTAAAAACTATAAACCCCAGGAAACCAAATGTTTTATTGCTTTAATATGTTCAAAATCATTTCTCCGCCTCCCAACCTTCTGCAAGCAGGCCTCTGAGAGAATGTCCTAGGTTTTGTCTTCACCCTCCATCAGTCTGGTCCTCAGGGGGCTGGGATGGGTGGAGCAGGGCTTGAGTAGCAGGATGGAGAAACTGTCCCCCTACCCCTTTCTCTCTGTGAATAATAGGTTATGGCCACAGGCAGGAAGAAACTAACCAGGGTGAAGAACAAAGAGAGGAGGAGAAAAAGTAAGAAAACAGAAGGAGAAAATAAAAAATGGAGGAGACACAGATGCTGGGGAAGGCTGAACTGTCACTGTGGTAACCATAGGTTTCAAGTCACTAATTAAGCCACGAAGCTTCCAGAGTCAAGTGAATGTATGGGAGCAATGGGATGACATATGAAGCCAGTGCAGATAATACCTGCAGGGAAATCAAGCCAATGGTCTCCAGAGCTGAAAGCATATTTGAGAACATCTACTTATATTTATTTTTATCGGATTATCCAATTTCTGTTCATGTTTTATAATATATATGACATAGTGACATGTATATAATTTATAAGTAAATAAATATTTCTATATCGGGGTGGTGAATGCTCAAATGTTTTCTACTAATGTGGTACATGGTCAAAATAGCTTGGAGGTCACTTACCTAGAAAACCATTAAAGACTCCTCCATCCTAGCTGGCAAGGCCTGGGACCTCACAGAGGTCTCTACTAGGTTGGCTTAAAGAAATAATCAGCTGTCTAGAAAGGTCTAGGGCAGCCGTGAGCAAACTACGGCCCGCGGGCTGGATCTGGCCCGTTTGAAATGAATAAAACTAAAAAAAAAAAGACCGTACTCTTTTATGTAGTGATGTTTACTTTGAATTTATATTAGTTCACACAAACACTCCATCCATGCTTTTGTTCCGGCCCTCCGGTCCAGTTTAAGAACCTATTGTGGCCCTCGAGTCAAAAAGTTTGCCCACCCCTGGTCTAGGGCCTCATGTCCCTTTTTTAAAGGGTGAAATCACTTGTATTTTGGTGAAACAGAAAAAAATATTATTAATATGACTGTCACTACCTAAACTCGCAACCATCCTCAAAGGAAGTCACATCATAGCGGGTCCGCCCTGTACAACTATGGCCACTGAAAGGCAGGTAAGGACCAGAATCCAGTCTGTGCCCCGCTCACCAAGCCGTATGCCCCAGGGAAAAGGGCCTTTTACTAACTCTCACAAAGGTGTAGGAATCAACAGCCCTGCTTTTATTTATTTGTTTTACTTTATTTGAATATAATTTTCTCATGTATGTTGCTTTCATAAATACAGTTTATTGCTCATTTTCTCTTAGTCTACTAATAATTTTGAGCTTCCAGCTCCTGGAGATGGTGCATCATTGGGAAGTGTTAAAATGGGGCTCTGGCTTTAGCAAGGGCAGCCCCTCAAAACCATGGTGAGCACTCAGAAGCTGAAGGTCAATTTCAGCCTTTCTGTCTCAGAGGTGCCCGCGGCCATGTGACTAGGTGAGTTGTTCCACACCTAGACAACAAAGAACTAAGCCTCAGTCCAGCTTCAATTGGAGACAGCCTGTTCCCTGGGTCCTGAGATGTGGCCTGGCTCAAATGTCTCCATCGGACATAGCCATCCAGCCAGAGAAAGTTCCAAGTCACTCAGCCTGAGACGAAAGTGGAATAATACAATCCTTTTGGACACAGCCACTGGCGGTCATGGATGTCCACATATGTCCCTGCTCACCCTTATCTTCCTGAAAATTCCACTGATTTATTTACTGGGAGATGTGATGTTTTCCTCCCAAATGTCCTCTCTTCTTAGGGAGTAATTTTGCTTCCCAGCTGTCACATAGCAAGGAAAAGGGGAGCTGTGTTGGGCCTCTGTGGGCTGCTTCCCCTGTACTCCTGGGATTCTCATGCATCAGCTTTGGGCTCCTTCATCGATTTGACAAATTCCTTGACTTCTTCTTCCAAGGTTTTGTTCCTCCTCTCAACATCCTCCCGGGAGCGCTCCATGTTGCGGAGGCTGATTTCCAAGGCTGCAGACTTCTTCTTTTCCTTCTCCAGTTCTTCATTGAGCCTCACCACCTTAGCCCAGACGTCATAATTTTCCTTCTCAAGGCTACAAGGAAGGAAAGAAATGAATGAAAGAATTGAGTATTACCTCTAGACTCCCCCTTCACCCTTGCTCACACCCTCCTCTGTCCATTTGCCTTTCCACATCACAAGACCCATACCCAACCTGTACCACTTGTTTACGTCCCAACCCCCACGTGAGTATTTCCTAGGAAACTGAATTCCCACAGCATGTCTGAGCCTGTTTTGCCATTTAACACCATCTTGTGACATCTCTTGTATTTGTTGTTCATGTCATTGTATGTTTTATGTCTTCCACCCAATAATAGTCTTTAAAAGAAGGGACTACATCTAATTATATTTATTTCAAAACCCCCTCCCAGCACCTTGCATTAGTCCTGCTCAATAGAAATATTGATTGACTCCTGAAGCCCCATCCACGTTCCACAGATTCCATTCCCAACACCTTTGTATACTTAAGAGCCTTCTCATCGTGCTTCAACAGTGAGTATGGACCAGCGCCTTTCCTTAGTAAGGCCTCCTAGGAACCAAGATTTGGAGAAGTACAGGGAGCTTCCCTTTGGAGCAGCAGTCTTGGCAGTGCCACCCTCACTTCTGAATCCTGCTCCAGGTGAAGAATCTGTTGGATTCCTGAATTCAGGGGCTTTTCACTGGGACTGGCCAAAATCCTAATCTAGTCCCAGGTGGCCCCCTGCCTGGCTATGCTGAATTAACTCACAAGAATGAGAATACATATGCCATTTCTCAGCCAAAAGAAGGGATTTCGGGCTTGTGGGAAGATTGTGTGATTAGAAATGTGCTTCATAGTTTCATTCTGAGAGGTACTGCCTCCCTGCTCCCCCAAATGCCTGATCATTTTACATGGAGACAAGCTCCCATCTGAGCCCATGCCTGACTTCTGTCTTCAAGGGCTTTGCCCCGTTCTGCATATAATGCCTCTTGTCTACCACTTCCTATTGCTTCTTAAAATTAAATCAGTCTCATTCCTTCTGGTCCTCCCATTACAAAGCTCGTTTTCTTCTCCAAATTCTCCATATACCTCTTGCTTCGGGAGACATCTCAAATGAGACATTATGCTACATCCTGACCAGTGATTTCAGTGGAGAGGTAAGATCTGCATGGGCTTGGGAGCTGGTTGAAGCAGGTGCAAATCCCAGCCCCACCAATAATTAGTTGTGTGACCTTCAGGAATCTTTTTGCCCTTCCTGACCCCCCATTTATTCTGTAAAGTGGGGATATTACCTGTTTCAAAAGATTGCTGTGGAGATTACATGCACAGATGTGTCTGAAGCATGAAGCTTAGACACTCCGGACTGTTTCTTCTCTCTCCACCGAAGATGGGAGGTCCCTGATGGTGGATTCAGAAGACTGTTCCGTTCAGGAAGAGGGGCCGCCTCCATGGCAGACAGTTCTTTCCCTGCCCTGTCAGTGGCACCCATGTTAGAGTACAGTGTGAGTCTGCTCCAGGATGCTTTGGTCTCTGCCAAGGCGTCACACCAGCCTTTTAGTTCTACCAACTACTGATTTGTGCTCTGGCCTCCACGTCCCTGCCCTCTCTCCTCTCAGTGACTTCCTCCTGCTCTAGCCCACCACTGGTCTGGTGCATGAACACCTAGACCTGCTTCCTTCCTCTGCCTCTGCACCTTTGGTCTCCCTGCCTGGCCTGCTCTTCTCTCATATGTAGACCTGACTTGTTCCCTCTTCTCCTCCAGGCCTTTGCTTCAATGCCATCTTCTCAGAAAGGTCTTCTTGACAACCCTATTGGAGCCTGCTTCTGGAATCCCTCAACCTCCTGCCCTGATTTATTTCTCTCCATGGCATTTTCTACCATTGGGCATAGCATATATTTTCATTACTTATTTGTATGGTCTGTCTGTTCTCGCTAGAAGGAAAGCTCTATTAGCACAGGGACTTTTGTCTGTTTTGTTCAGTGCTATTCCCCAATAGCTGGGATGTCACCTGGAGCACAATAGGTGCTCAATCAATATTTTCAGAATGGATAAATCACACTAATGTGAAAAAAGTTTTAAGTTTATCTTAATTTACTAAGCATGTTGAACCTTAAAGAATTGCTATTTAGAAAGTTGATGAAGCTACGTAATTTTTCATGAATTTAATTTGAAGCTCAGAGTTTTCACTAGCTTAGCCACTCATCACTCCCTTTACCCTTTTTTCTTATCAGGCCTAACTGCTAGAGATTACTGTATTCTCCAAACTGAAGGTTCATAATGTCACTTCTCTGGCAGATGAGAACAATCCCTATTGCTTCTTACGATGGAAGCTGAGTGGCTCCCCTCTGCATGTGACTTACCTTTTAATCTGTTCCTCGTAGACTTGTTTCTGTGTTTCTATTTCCTTTTGCAGCTCCTGGACCATCTTTTGCAAAGACTCCAGTCCCTCTTCTCCACAGTTCTTTGTCCCAGGCCCGGTTTCAGAGTTTGGGCTCGAAAGAGTATCTCTCTTGGAGTCGCAGGCATGGGAAGCGAGTGCACCTGCTTCATTCCCAGGGGACCCCGGCAGGGTAGGGATGTTATCGTAGGTGGAAGTCCTCTGGGCATCAGAAAAGTTCTGCACACCTTGAGACAGTGTTCTCCTATGCCCCTCCCCGGCCTTCGCCTCTGAAGACGATGACCAGAACTCATTTTTAAAGATCTCCACTTTGCTGCTGTTGGCACCTTGAAAAGCTGCTGTTAAGAAACATTTCCGATTAGGCAGGGTCTGAGTCCTTTTTCGTGATTGCAGCTTCCAATCTCCTGGCTTTTCCCTGGGAGTTTTGCTGCTGTGTTCTAGAAACATGTCACTTGGCTGTTGTTCAGTGGGGCTGGTTGCTTCTGAGTCGCTGGCCTAGAAAAAAATGGCCATGAAAGTTACATGGGTTTTTCCCACTTGTGTCATGTTCCCAAGAAAAAAAAATTAGAGGCTTGAAAGAAAGCATCTCTGGGCAGCACACCTATGAAACTCTTCATTAGAAGACCATCTATTCATTGGTCACATTAGTTGATTATCTGACTGGCATTTTTTTTCTGAAAGGACATTGCACTTAAAGGAACTCATATTCTAAAGGTGAAGCCCTGATTAAAAGCATTCTATGTTTAAGGTAAAAGAGTCCTAGGCCAGGATTCTTTTATAACTTTAGGATGGGCAGGCTTTTCTAACTAGGACTCAAAATCCAGAAGCCATAAATGAAACATTTGATAAATTCAACCTACATGGCATGAGCCCCCAAACTTAAAAGAACAAAATTAAAACAAAGAAATCACCACATGCTAAATCATTTAAGAAATGACAAAATGGCAAAAATATTTGCAAGGCATATCACTCTCCCTAATATATAAGGTTCATAAAAATTGCGAAGAAAAAGACCAATAACCAATGGAAAAGAAAAAGACCAATAACTAATGGGAAAAGGACAAGATAAAGAGCTCACAGAGAAAAATGCAGCGGGCCTTTACATATAAGAAAAGATATTTGGACTCTCTTATAATAGGAAAACTTAAATTAAAATTACTGACAAATCAGTTCTCACTTATCAAAAGGACCCCCACCATAAAAGAACCCAAAATCTGACAGTACACCTCTGCTGGTGAAACTGTAACACCTCTGCTGGTGAAACTGAAGGGAAACAGATTATTTATACATCACTGGTGGAAGTACAAAATTGCACAAACTTCATTTGATAATTTTAATGAAAATTACACATTACAAATCTATGTACCTTCTGAGTCAGCAATCCCAGTTCTGGGAATTTAGCCCAGCAATACATCTGCCTGAATACAAAATGAAGCCTAGTCAAGGTTATTCATTGCAGCCTTATTTGTAGTACAAAGGAATGAAAACCACCTCTATAGGGTGGTTTTATCTATAGGGGCTGGTTAAGTAGATTATGGTTCAAGAGTGGAACACTATACACCTGCAAAAACATAAGGTCATATGAGGTAGCTGTCTATGTATTAACATGAAAAGGTCTCCAGTATATATTGTTAAGTGGAAAAATTCAAGTTACAGAGTGGAGTGTGTGTGTGTATGTGTGTGACTGTATGTATGTAGAGAGAGAGAGAGAACTCGAAAGAGATTGTTATATTTTGTGTAAAAGGGAGATACATAACAATTTAAATTCATATCTGCTTATATTTGCATAAAGGAACACTGGAAAGATAAATAAGAAACTAAAAAGGCAGGGAAGGATGGAGTGGGTGAAGGTAGAGGAGGGATCGGGACTTCTCAATGTAGCTTTTTTTCTTCCTTTTTATTTTTTTCAGTTAAATTAAAAAGGAAAAGAAAAAGACCAAAAAAAAAAAAAAGAATGAGTCTTAAACGTAAAATCTGAACATAAGGGCTGAAACTCTTCTTCTAACGCTTCTGCTAATCAACTGCTTCAGCAACCTCGTCTGGGGTCAGAAGCACCTGGGCCTTGAGGTGAGAACTAGATCAAAATCTTATTCTGTAACATTCTAGTGCTGCCACCTTGGGCCATCTGGTCGACCTCCCTGAGACTGAGGTCCTGAGACATAAAATGTGCATGATAAATTCTACCCAATAGATTTACAGTGAGGAGTCCAGAGCTGATCTGTTTACATTTCCCAGCAAAGTGCCTGCCCAGAACTGCCCACCTGTTACCATTAAAGAGAAACCTGTCAAATGAGCATAACAATAGCTAATCTGAAGCACTTCTAGGATGATGCCACTATACAAGGTATGAGCATTTCTAAATATTAATTTAATTTTTGAGTGTTAGTAAGATGCATTGTGTCCAGACTTTACCTAAGAAACATCACCACCAACCACTACCTACTTCCCCCCCACCCCCCATTCCTTTCTTAATCATCCTCAAGAAAGATTAAAAGTATTATAGGCAACTTACATTACCAGGTCAACCCGAAATTTGCAATTCATTCCTTGGTCACACATAATGAGTCAGGCTGCTATATAAAGTTCACATGTTCTTTTATAAAAAAAACTTGTTTTATAAATATATAAAACATATTTGACCTTTGTAAGTTGTTGCCCTCAAACAATCTAAATTGCAGAGTCTGCAGAGTTTTCTGACATTGGGAACGTGAGCCCCAAGCCCTCGGTACAAATGAGGGGGTTGACATTGCTGAGACAGTTTATCAGAGAATGGGAAATATTACACGAACACATCACATGCTCTGAGAAAGAAATCACGTTTCATGGGTTAGCAGGAAACCAGTTCTCTCTGGATTTTGACCTAGAATTTTCAATAACCCTCACTCAGACATTTACAAGGTGGTATATCTCTTTTCCCATTGAACATCTCTGGACTGTGTTTTAAAGTGTATCCCTCCAGAGTGAGCTTCAGTGAAGAGTTCCATTGCTCAGTCATTGGCACACACATCATGAATCTCACCTCCAGGATGCAAGCAGAGACTAGGCTTTGAAAGAGGCCAAGCTTTCAAGATGCCCGGGATGGGAATGACTGGAGGTCGGGGGAGGGTGTCAATTGGGGGGAAAGGAGACATATGTAAAACTTTAGACAATAAAAATAAATGAATGAATGAATGAATTAATAAATAAATAAATAAATAAATAAAAAGATGCATTCCAATGAGTCTGTACCAGCTGTACCCATAGCCACAGCATCATCAAAAACTCCCCCAAATTGCCACCCACAGCAGCTCTTACATGGAATGACCTGGATTAAAGGACAAGTCTAATGGAAGGCCGAAGGCTCCCTGCGCCTTACCGTGTTACTGAAGCTGTCTGTCCTAGAAATTGGGACGTCCTCAGAGGCATCCCAGCCCACAGAGCTTCGAGCCACTGGAGGTTTCTTGGGGTCATTTTTGGGAGCCGGGGGTGACAGGGGTACATCCTTGGACTTGGGGAAGAGGACTTCATGGTCTCTGATCATCATGGTCATCACTCTTTGGATTTGAGGAGTCCCTGAAAGAAGAAGAGATTCGTGGTGCTGGACCATGGCGTAGTCCTCAAAGGCCTCTATACCTATGGGATGTCTCCAAAAGTGTCTCTAAAACCACAGCGCCCCAAAGGATCTCATTTTGCTCCTCATAGGACTCTTCTTAATTGCTTGGGGTAGGACTCTGTGGTGAAAGGGATGGGCTAGAACAAACACGTGGGTTGGAGTGAAAGGTGGTTATTTTCAGTTTACACCCCACTGGCTCAGTCTTTAATCAGGAAATTAGCAATCTAACAGCAAAGAAAATTAAGACATGTGTCTCTCCTAATGTGGTCTTCAATGTGACATGCGATTTTTATTGCGCACACAGTTGAATACGTGCCAGGCATATTGCCTCCCCAAATCTATGGCAGACATCAGTTCTCTATGGCAGGACTTTTGCTCACTGATCCCAGACACAGCCTCCGAAGCCTTTTCAACACAGCTTTACAAGTGCTCTTTTTGTGACTTGGCTTATAAAATGAAACTTGTTTACTCTCTCTGGCTAAGGGTATTTAAACATAATAAAAGATTAAGAAACATTAGCTAACTGTTTTTGTGCCAGCCTATTATATGTACTGTGTGACCTTTATGTAAATCTTTAACCACTGCTGTGATCTGGAGAATGGACATAATTCCTGCCCTGCCTACTTCACAGGGCTATTTTACAGTTCAGACAAAATAATCAGCTGAAAATTCATGGCAAATTGCAGATCAGTGCCCAGACATAAGGGCTAGTGTCGTAACTGTCGTTAGTTCCTCTGCATCTGTCTTACCACAGGACCATCCTTACCCCTCATAATCACAGCAGGGTCTTCTACCTTTGACCTGATAAGATTCACACCAATCACAGTAGCCAGGTTATCCACGCTCATCTTGTTCACAGCACAGTTCAGCTGGATTTCATGTAGGAACCTGTGAACAGACAGGCAATCCCAGAGTAAGAAATAGGAATTTGCCAGAAGAAAGCATTTCTAGGTACCAATGAAATCTCCGAGATGCATCCTGATTCTCCTTCTGATCTCAAGAGTGGGATCAGCCTGCTCTTCCCAGAAGAGTTTAGCTTCACCCCCAAAGATTCAAGATCAAGGAAGAATAGAAACCAGGAGGGGCCAGCTGAGGTGGTGGCCTTGGTCTGGGAGCAGGGAGGGGAGTTACATTGGCAGAAGGCAGGATCCAGTTTCAGGGAACTAAGAGGAGACTAGAAGGACCAAAATGGGCATTCGACTGCTCCTTGTCCTGCCTTTATAAGCTTATCTCCCATCATGCCCAAGTCTCCAGAGAAGAAAATCTCAGAGATGGGAATCCCAGTGCCACCTAATCTTACCCTCCAATTATAGCACCAAGTATCTCAAATTCTCAGGTGCTCAATAATTAACAATTTTTACTATAATTCTACCCAGTTGAGGCATGCACTTCTTATTTACAATTAAAGAAAACTAAACAGCCAACAAAGGAATTTCTACTTTTTCCAGAAACCATTTTTAAATGGATAGGCTGGAGCAACATAAAATTTGAAACACAGAGAAATGATCAAATAAATGCTGGTCTGTCCAAATGAGAAAAGCTTATAGAATATTATGAAGTTATTTATAATCCTATTGTATGACATAGGAAAGTGTTCACAGTGGAACATTAAGCCAAAAAAGAAAGCAGGGTACAAATATATATATATGTAATTCCAATTTGGTATAAAAATTGTTCTAGTAAATTTATATTGATGAATGTAAAAATCAGTCATAGAGACAAACCATCCAGAAGGAAAAACACTCAGGTCTTAATAGTGATTTTTACTGAGTAAGGAGATTGTGGGGTAATTTTTATTTCTTCTTTACAGTATGTTGCATTTTCCTGGTTTCCAAATCAAGCATATATCACTTTTTATAATCTGGAGACTATAACAAATGATTTTTTTTAAATTAAGATAAATTTCAGCTCTGTCTGGCATGGAGATCCAGGCTCCCAACTCAGCAGGTCTGGGTCAATGCACATGTTACATGCTGCCACAGAGATGACACATAGCAAGTCCTCAGAAAGGGGAACTGAAATGTATGCCTCTGGGGCACTAAGTCAGGATGATGGGAGATAATTCTAGAAAGATGATAAAGATTTCGGTTCTATTGCATATCCCAGGGCTCTGAGCAGTGCTGAGGAAAGCCTGAGGAGGAAGCATGTACATTTTGTATGCCGATCAAACTTTCAGTGGGTCCTTTAAATTATCTTGTGGACACAGGAAACTACCTCGGAGCTATGTAAATACAGTTGACCTTCCAAAGATCTGAACTAGAGTCTCTGAGTTCACAGAGACACTC